GGAAAATACTTGCTAATAGCAACACCAGGTCCATGTACATATGTCAGTGTAAAAATGCTCTAGGGGTTCTCAGAGGACACTCAACCAAGTCGAAACTGTTAGAGGACTGTCACCAAGATCTTAACAGACATCCGACCCAAACCAAGGCGGTTTTGTTCAGGTCCCGGGCCACAAAGTCATAAGAGAAGTGCTCTCGCACTAAAGCAGATTCCCAACAACACGCCATCGGGCCAGAACCTACCATGGGTATCTGTAGCAGCCTGGTCAAGCAAGAAATTGCGAGATAGGCTGCTTCAGACTTTATAGACACTGGGAAATACAACAATGATGTAGGCAGTCAAAAGCCTTCATATCCGCTACAAACTGCAGGGAGCAAGAAAAACAAATTTTCAATCTCGGTAGGAGAAAAGCAAAGAACATGCTGGGAATAACTTCTTCTTCTTGTGGCTTTTGTAAGGAGGAAGTGTAAAATAATATCTACATCCTCTGTCACTGTCCTTACATTTCAGGGCAAGAAGTTCTAAGAATTCTATAAAATATTTAATAATAGTAAATTGATTTCTATAATATATTCCAAAAGACGTGACTGTGGTTCTTTGGCATAAGCCTGTCTTCATTTAGTTAAAGTTAACCAGTGAAAACTGAGAATAACAAAATTTAAAAATACATTCCTCTAGCTGATGAAATAAAAGAAATGAGAAATCAGAAAAAAGTTCGAATTATTCCAATAATTCATCAATATTAGACGTTATACCTAAAACATTACATGCTAGCTTAGCCGAGTTGAAACTAGATAAATTTACTACAAAGATCAGTAATCATGCGGAATAGTATACAGATTGCTTAACAATTTTCTTATATCCCCCTTTCCAGACAACACAATAGGTTAAATTAGAAGCGGAGTTATCCCCGATTATATTTCAGGGCAAGAAATACTGATAGCTCTATGAGTAATTTAATAAAAGCGAACGGTTAATTTATAAATACGAAAAAGGTTATTAAAGGTGTATGTTTGGAGCGCGTCGTTGTACGGATGCGAAACATGGACAAGAAAAGGTTAGAAGCGTTTGAAATGTGGTGTTATAGGCGAATGATGAGGATAACGTGGATAGAAAAGGTTAGAAATGAAGCGGTATTAGAAAGAATAGAAGAACAGAGGACTCTATGGAAGTCAATAAAAAATAGGCAAGATAGGTTGGTAGGACACCTTCTCAGGCATGAAGGTCTAGTCAGAGACTTATTAGAGACTGAAACAGGCGTTAGGAGGGGTAGAGGTAGACCTAGATTAGATTACTGTTCACAAATAGTTAAGGATGTGGGTTGTTCTAGTTTTAGGGAAATGCGAAGTTTAGCTCAGGATAGGAAAGAGTGGAGGTACGTGTCCAACCAGTCTTAGGACTGACGACCTTATGATGATGATGATGACTCCAAAAGATGTGAGTGAGGTTCTCCGGCATCAGCCCATCATCACTTGCCCAAAGTTAACCATTGAAAACTGAGAAGGCCATAGGATGATAATAATAATAATAAGTATTGTGGTGCTTAATATTTAAATCGGTATTCCATGTATTAGATACAATCACAAAATAGTGGCTCAAATATTATAAATGGACAAATTGCGTATAAATGGTAAATTTTAGACCACATTCGGATAGCAGTCAATTATTTATTTGTACCGTTATGAAATATTCTTAATCATTTCCAAAAACTTCCCGAAAGTTCTTTGACTAGAAGGGTACTGCTGAACTGTTCCATCCTCCACCTACTGTATTCGATCTCAAGAACCAAAATCAGCAACAAAAACGAAATAAAATTTGGGGACTTAATTTTTATTAATTTTAACATTAATTGAGAGATATTCATTGTTTCTAATGTTCTAATCCGAAAAAACGGTGCTGGATTAGACAACAGACCGAATAGACCGCAGATAAGAACGGCAGGAAGGATCCTAGGATGGGACGGCAGATTTTAGAATAACGGAAAAGTTCATTCTTTTATGCAATATTGTCCCAATTATTTAGATATCGATTTTATTCATTTTCACTACCACGCTTCCTAGTATCGCACCCTAGTACCTAAAGCGATCTCTGCGGGCAAACCACACGACGTTCACTCTCTAGAACAACGAAATGTGTTAAGAGGTCTGAACCTTAGTGAAGTTATTTGGCAGAGATTCGGAAAAGTGGTTTCGCCTGTTACACACATCGCAAGGGGCTGGGGTTAGGTGGGCTGACATGTCAAGGGTCAGGAGAAGGTGGCCACTCCATGATCTCGAGATCGTTTATTATCAGTAACCGCAGATGAGACTAGTATTACGTGAGGTACGATGTGATGAACTAATCATCATCATAAGGTCGTCAGTGCTAAGGCTGGTTGGACACGCACCTCCACTCTTTCCTATCCTGAGCTAATCTTCGCATTTCCCAAAACTGACTAAACTTTCATGCCTGAGAAGGTGTCCTACCAACCTGTCTCGCCTATTTTTTATTGACTTCCACAGAATCCTCTTTCTCCTATTCTTTCTAATCCCTCTTTATTTTTAACCTTCTCTTTCCACGGTATCCTCATCATTCGCCTGTAACACAAAACTTCGAACGCTTCTAACCTTTTCTTTTCCTCCGCACCCACCGTCCATGTTTCGCACCCGTACAGCTCCACATATACACCTTTAACAATCTGCTTTGGTTTTATAAATTAACAGTTCGCGAGCACAGAAGTGACTTCTTTTTATTGAAGGCAACTCAACCCTGAGCTATCCTTTGCTTTATATCCCTACTACTCCTTTCGTCCTGACTTATCTAACATCCTAGATACCTAAATTCGGTCACTTCTTGTAATTTTTCTTCTGTCTTTATTTCTATCTTTCCCTACTTTTTCTTCCCTTGCATACCAGTATTTTTGTTTTACTTTTATTTATTTTAATACAATACTGTTTTATCAATACCGCTTCCATTTTATTTACAGTTATCTCTAACTCCTCCTTGCTAGATGCTAATACTGCAATATCATCTGCAAATCTAAGCATGATGAAGCAATACGAAAAATAAAATACGTTTCGTGTCTCATTCAACAATTGATCCACATTCAATGTCGTATTGTTACTGTAAAAATGAAATGATGATTTATATAATTTCAAAAAGAAATAAACACTTAATTATTGTTCATATTTATCTCAGAAGGTGATAGGTCAAACTAAAATCTGAGTAATTGTTTTCGTGCATCTGACTAAAAGAAATGTGAGGTCTCGATATGTTGTACTCCTCAACTTATTAATTTTTAATTACCGGATGATGGGTGTTATTTATTGTCCATTCGCATTAAAAGTTTTGTGTGAATCCTATTTATAGAGTTTAACAGCACATATTTGATCATCTTTTATTTTCACTTTTTCAATAAATTCCTAGATATATGTGTCAAACAATTAGGACACGTATTACATCTACGAATACACATACGTATAATGATGTTGTCGTTCGTAGAATCGCGTGTTTTATTTTCGAAGTCCATTCGTGCAATAATTAAATTGTCCTCGACGAGTCACGTTTATTTCTGTCCACTCATCAAAAACACCGTTACGAAATGTGAACAATAACCCACGCTACGGCTGCTGCTGTTGCATAAAACAATAATTACGAAGAAAAATCGTCACGCGTCCATCATCACCTGCTATCATCGAGTCGCGTCGAATCGCCTCGAGTCATCACTTCCTATGTTATTCTTGGTCACCGATGTCATTTAATACAGAAAACAGATCTTAATTAGTTGCAGTAATCAGTTCATATGCATAGTAGGGCAATAATTAGATGCAAAAACACCATTAGGTACCACATTCAAGCCATTTCGTATGCAGTGAAATTAAAAAGAAAGGTCTGCTGCTCAAGTCTTTGATAACGTTAATTTAACTTAACGAATATCATACATATGCAATACACAATGTTCGCGAAAACTTTTTCGCTTAAAAAATTCACGAAAATGCATATATTTTTATGATACGAGTTTTACTCACGCAATCGTTACAGTCTTTTTTTAATAATCGTACGATTTCTAATACTACCGTCGCGGGGTGGGGTGCAAAGGGGGTTTTATTTTGGTATTAGAATAAGGTCCACCTGGCAGTAAACTTATATGTCCCAATTTCTTGATTTAAACCAAGTTTTAATAATTTGTACAATGTTAAAAATCTAAATGTAAAAACGGCATTGTTTCATAGTCAATATATAGCAGAAGCTGAAATTAGAATTGTCAAACCCTAATTAAGCTCCCATGGCACAAAAATGTACGATGCAGAATAGGTACCTACGATTACAAAAGCTGAAATTATTACATTCTTTTTTCTGTAGGTATATAAAAAAAGTAAAAAGTAAATGTATAAACGGTCAATTTATTTCTACTTCTCTCGGCGATCGTCTCTTCCTTTAAATACTCTTTTGTTTACTCTCTGGAACCTTCTGGAAACATCCGGATAGTTTATTTTTTTCTTTGAACTGTTTAACTGCTTTCCCAGAACGCAGGTACGACACACACATTTACAAATACAGTGCACATGAAGAAAGGCGCCCGCGGCTAGTCGGCGAATCGATAAGATCAACTTAATTTCATCCCACTACAAATTACCTCAAGTTAACAAGGAATTTTTTTTATTACTGTCTACTATCATCATCATAAGCTTTAACTATTTGCGAAAGTAATCTAATTTAGATCTAGCTCTAAATATTAGCGTAACAGGAGGAGGATGCCCAACAAATATCTTACGATTCTTAATCGTTGTTTAGGGGGTTAAAGTTTTGGCAAAATACGTAATTTGTGAACAACCCCTTGCTTAAATATTGCATGCGTACAAATTATACAACTGTAATTTCAATTAAATATTTACTGCAAACCTTTATGATTCGCTACATATTTCTTGTATAACAATTTTTTAACTTTTAAAATTTCATCCCGGTAAAATCCTAAATGTAGTTTTATACGACGCATCTAAAATAGTTTTTTTATTGTTTCAGGAGAAAGCTCAGAACCACGCTTTCGATTTTACAGCTACACAATTGAAAGAAAAATGAAGAATAAACCAAAGAATTGTAGTTTCGCCGTATAGCATCCAAAAGATCGAAAAAAATGAAGTGTGTATATTCTTTGATATCATTAAAATGTATCCTCTTTTTATTTTATGGGGGTAAGTTGAATTATAAAAGAATATTTTTTTTATACAAATCACTATCTTTGGAAAGCATGAAATGACAAAATAATTATTTACTTATAATAATTAAATTTATTGTAAATCACTGAAACAAATACAAAATAATTTAAAAAAAGTATATGTTGAATTTGAACATGATACCGTACGCTTATTGTAGTCATAATCAAAAATTCCCCTACGATACCAACAAAAATTTTGTATTAGGTACCATTAATATCAGGTCTCTTTTCAATAACCCAAAATTATCAGAATCAACAAAACTTGAATATTTTGTAATATTAAGAAACTCAATAGTGGTTTATATTAAATATTAATATGAAAATTCATTTAATTTTTACCCACTATAAATGACCTCAAATTAATGAAGAAAAATTGCTGCTGCTGCCACCTCTTGTAGCGTAGTAGTTTTAGCATTGTTGCGTAAAGCTAAAGGTCCCGAGTTCGATCCCCGGCGAGGGTGTGACAACAGCGACAATTTTTCTTTATCAATTGGAGGTAATTTATAGTGAATAAAAATTAAATGAATTTTAACAATTAGTATTTAATATCTAATATTTTGTATTAGATACACCTTAGAATGTACATTAGTTAAAAAAGTAAACGTATCGTTGCTATTAAGTGAATTTTTGTATAAAATTTAAACACAACAAGAAGACAAAAATAACACAATTATTTATCTTTGTATTAAACTGTATTTGTACCAAAGCACATGACCTTTATTCTTCTTACAGCAATAGGATGTCTTTTTCCGTTTCTTCCCCTTCACATGCGAGCGAAAGAATTAAATGTAGAAGAATCGAAAACGATATCGTTAGTAGCTCCTTGTGTGGCACTTTTAGGTCCTCTTATTGCAGGAATAGTAGCTGACAGATTAGGAGCTAGCTCAAGTAGTAACAAAAAAAATTCAAATGGCAGGTACCTGCGGATAATGATTGCCATTTGTTTCATCCTGGCCGCTATTTTTTATTGGTTACTCGATTTAGTACCTAGGATCGTAAGTACTATTAGTTATTTTTTATTTTTCAAACGCAGATCAGATAGAACGGACACTGTTACAGTTATTTTCAAAGAATGATGAAAAAATATATTAAAAGCCGGATAAATTTAGTGATGATATTAATTTAACATTTCATTTTTGATGCTTCCTCATTTTGCGTAATTTTTTGCTAATAATTTTATGTGCCCTTTTGTTTTTGGTATTCCATGGCTTGTATCAATGAAACATTTTATTGGTATTGAAAAAGGAAGAATTGAAAATTTAATTTTTAAAATTATTTCTGTCTTTCAAACATAAATAACAACTAAAACTTTGTATAATTAAGAAGTTAAATTCCAAAATCGTTCTATTTTCTTGATTATTTATTGTAATTGTCAATTACTTGATAATTTTTTAAAAATATATTCCAAAAATCTGGAATAATAGAGTGGTGTGTTTGTATTTGCTACAGTCGAAAGCTCCGCCAGCTGTCTCTTTTGTTTGTGATCCAGCTGGAGGAAACGTCCTTCAGGAAAAATGTGGCATCGAAAAAACATGTCACGAGTGGAATCCGGAAAAGGTTAGTCAGTATTTGTATCTTTCTGTTTGAAAAATAAGAAAAGACATCTACTTGGGAAGTAAAAAATTGCCCATTTTTTTTTGTTCTGTATGAAATTTTCTTGTTTCAGATGCACTTGTTCTTTTGCCATCTAGATTACTTTTTTTTTAGTCATTCCAATTAAGAATTTTAAACAATGTAAAAAAGGTGGACGAACTTTTCTTTTTTTTTACGTTTTTTTTTTACCCTATCAGTCTATTCTGAATTAAAATGTAGACTACATTTGATGGTTTCAAGCTTTATTAATTATTATATTAATATTAACGGATATTTATATTTTACTTTTAATTTATAATTATGCATTTAATTGCTTATTTATATGTCGTTGTACTTATAATTTCTATATTTCTGTTTGTGACTTTTCAGTTTACTTTGAAAGTTAATAGTTAGTTAATACAAATTAATAGTTATTAAACATTAAAATGCGTTGAACCTTACGTAATATAATTACATTTAGGCTAGCACTTATTAGACATGTGCCTAATGCATTTCATTATTATTATCTACTCATCTGATGAAATGCTTTACAAACTGATTGTGTAAAATAAACTTAATTTGTATTAACATTTTTGTTTCTTTTTCTTTTGCAGTTTGCCTCTCTGTTAGTTACGAATTGTACATTTACCTGCAAAAACTCGTTCTTTACATTAAGTGATATTACTCTCGTTTCTCCTGAACCGGAAACAAGTGCTGCTGACGAGTACGATGGTTACGATTACGATGAAAGTCACGTTATAAACGCGGAATACGGACCCGAAAACATCAGAAGCGGAAATGTATGAATTCTCATGTCTGTCTCTTCTTTTTCCAGATTTTTCATAATTATGCTCGCTGTTTCAGAAAAATTTCAGTGCAGCGCTGGTTCCCCATCCACATTTATGTTACGTAACTCAAGACAAAACGGCTGTTTGCGAAGTGTTTACACGGTATTCTCATCCGATCGATTTGAAAATAAATTTAAATCCTTCTTCAAATGTCAACGTTCAGGACGATAGTAACAATGAAACGGAAATATGTTCATACCCTATAGGTAAGTTAGGTGATCATGAAATAAGATACTTAACTTTTTGGATTCAATCTCATTAGATACAAATGCATACATATATGTCATTGAACGTCACTTTTTCACTCAATCTATAATTTCCCAAGTTTGATTAAGATACCTTTTTTATTTGGTCAGTTCTTTGTTTTCCTTTCCCACTACCTTTCATTCCATTTCCTTCCTCTCCTTTTCTTTCTTTCTTTTTCATGGTTTCCTTCTTTTCTGTCCTACCCATTTCCCCTACTTCACCTTCCATCTCTCCCACCATTCCACCTTTCCCTATTTTCACCCCTTCCCTCATTTTCCTCCCTTCATTCCTTTGCATTCCCCCTTTCCTTCTCTCCTATCCATTCCCATCCTTCCTTCCCTTCCTAACCTTTTTCCTTCTATTCCTTCCGTGCCTTCTTTTACTTATCTTTCTTTTCTCATTTCGCTTCCTTTTGTTTCTTCCCTTTTTTTTATTTCTTCTATTCTTTCTTCAAATCAACCCAAAAGGAGAGTGAAGCGAGTGAAAGTACTCCCGTCATCATCCCTTTTCATTATTCCCTTCCACCGCTTTCGTTTCCTTTCCTTTCATCTGTTTCTTTTTACTTCTTGTTCCTTATTCGTCTTCCACAAAAATAAAATGAAGGTTTTGCTTTTAATTTGTAATATTTACCAACACTTTACTAGACAAACCACCAAAAATCATTTATTCCATCATTTTTTTTCAATATATCTTTTTCTATAATCCACCCTTGTGTATACCTCATCGACATTAATAAAATCAATAATCCATGAGTAAGTAGTTTTTAATGAAATTAAAACTTAACTCGCTTATGATTTTATGAATAAATGAAAAGCAAGAAAGGGGGACGGGTAATTTTTATTATCTTTGTTTTAGGGAGCAACTTCCACTGCCGAATTCCGCCCGAAGTTCATAAAAATCTTACCGAACGAAGTCCCACTTGCCAACCTATCGTGAAATGTAACATAGCTCAACCCTACAACGCTAGTGTCAGCATTCTGACCGAGTCCGAATGCGGATACAACAACAGCGTCCAAAGCTTTTGGATTTATCTATTAATCCGATCAGTAGCTGACATTTTTCCTGCTGCAGCGGTGGCGTTACTGTCTGCAGCAGTGGTGATAGCTACTAGGGAAACGTCTACCGGAAGGGGAGACGTTGGAAAACAACTGGCCTGCGGTGCCCTGGGACTCGCTATATTTGCTCCCATCGTTGGAGCTATAGACAGCCCCCAAACGTCGTTAATATTGTTCTCAACTTTGTTAACATTAGCTGCAATTATTGCGTTGTTGGATGGGTACGTATATAGATGTCACAACTAGCTGGCTTAATATTAAATATGTATAAATTTTTCACTCTGTTGTTAATTATTCAGAAGTTTTTTAGTGTATCAGGTCAAAATCGACGTTTCACCTTTGGCTTTAGGGAAGACATTCCCCTAAAAGTGAAACATTAATTATGAACTGATACGGTACAAAAACATTATCTTAGTTGTGTTAATTATTTTAAATGAATTAAAGGTTTTATGTTTAATTATATTTACAGAAAAATGCCCTTAAGTCCTCCAGAATGGTGGTGGCACACCCGCTGTGGACTTGTAGCACTGCCCTTATCATCTATAAAGAAATATAATCTAGAGACTGCCGGTTTAGCTTTCGTCCTTTTTCTGTTAGGTGTTCTTTGGAATGGTTTAGATTCGTTTATGCCATGGTAATATTCTTGTACAAAAAAAAACTATTAAGTATTCTATTTTGAGCGTTAAAATAACATGCAAATCTGTTTATTGTTTCTCATCATATGTCACCCCTTCTAACAAGTAAAGTTTAGAAATATTCTATACTTCAAAAACCTCCAAATTTTGATTTTTTTTAAAGTAGATTCTCTTAATTCTTATCCTCAGTTAGAGACTTAACTAACCTTTGGTGTCGAAACACATTGAAGTTGCTAAACATTTTTGAGGAATTTTTTAAAAAAACTTAAAAACTTCCTGTACTGATTGTGAACGACTTCTAATGAAATAACACCACATTATGTCTTTGGAATACTTGTAAAACTATAGCAGATAGCATTTTGTAATGGAAGAACGAACTACTAACAAAAAATCAATAATTATCAAACATTAATGTGAAATCAACTCAACTACTCTGGTAAAAGTATGGGTGCGTAAAACCAAGGGTCCGGGTTCTATTCCCGGCGAGGGTATGATAGCAGCAACAATTTTTTCCTCAATAACTTGAAGTAATCTATAGTGGGAAGAAATTAAGTTAATTTTACATCAACCGCCACTAAAAGAAAAAACTTTCTTAAAGTAATATTATAAAAATGCTATCTTTTATAAGAAATGTCTTATTAAAAGCTATCATTTAACGCCTTACACTTTTAAATTCGATTTTTGATTTATTCGATCAGCAATCAAAGCTTGATCAATTTCAATATTTTTAGGCATATTGCAACACTTCAAGGTGATACTTTAATCATCGGTTTGACAATAACAGTGGGAGCTTTGCCTGCCGTATTGTTTTTACTGTTTGCAGAAAAGGTGGTAGATTATTGCGGTCATACAAACCTTTTAATCGCATCATTCTGCTTCTACATCATTCACTACATAGGTAAAAATGCACTTTAATATCTCTGCGTAACGGTGCTTTTAAGTGCTTTTTTTTTCTAGGGCTTTATGTAGTTGAAAATGCATGGTGGATTTTACTGTTTGAAGCGCTCGAAATTTTCACGCTTCATCTCATGTATGCTACAGCCGTAATGTACCTGAGACATCTCGTTCCAAGGAAATTTACTGTTTTAGGGCAGGCGATACCCGTTATCGTTCATTTTTGCTTAGGTAAGTAATTATTTCATTTTAAGTAATTTGAATACCTTTTTCGCCCTTATTAAAAAAATAGTTAAAACTTTTAATTCGATACATCAAAGGTAATCAATTCTTACATGGTGACTTTATAAATCCACCTTGAAAAAGTCTCAAACCAGAGACGAAACGTCGGTATAAGTTTTATTTCAATAAATCTTTCACGCCTCTAATTAGCTCTGACTATTTTTATTGCAACAATATTTCAACACTTTTTATATCTCATAATTATAACCGCGTTATTCAAAAATAGTGCAATTTATAAACCGCACTGCATCAAATGTACCACATTATACTAAGATTAATTGTATTATTAACAAAATAATTTTATTTTAGGTCGAACCATTGGTGCATTAATAGCTGGATATCCGTATGAGACCACTTATTACTATTCTCATCGAGAAATGCACGCTGGTTTTGCTATAGCTGCAGCAATAATTGCTGTATTGTACTTTTTGATTTATCACTGCTATTTGAGACCGAAATATGCAGCTCCATTAAAAGAACCACCCCCAACTACTCCGCCTGCACTTATACAGAGTAAGTTATATCAAATACTGATAAAAAAGTAGACGACAATTCTTGGAAATTAATAGCAACAACTCGTCGTGTCTTACTGCAAGTCCAAATTTTATTGAACTAATTTTTAAACGCCTTTGTGAAGTTTAGAAACATTACTACTTCGTAGGCAACTGAGGCTTGACATCTTCAGTGGATACTGCATTGTAAAATGTAGGGAGTCATGTTCTGAAAATTTTAATAACTTGAAATTAATGAAGAATATCGTTATAATTTTCATTGGAGGTAAAGACAAAAGCGTCTAAAAGAATAAAACTAGACAGATTATATATATAGATAAAGATAATAGTATATCAAGTGTAGTATATTGTACATCAGACGTTTTATCACAATAATAAAGTTGTTTAAATAGTTAACTATTAACTTCTTGTTTTCAGCTATGAATGGAAATGGATCATACACACCACTTAGAGTTTATCATAACGGCCGGGCGAAGAAGGGTCAATTTCGTTATTAAAAACCATTTTCACCCCATTGTGTGTTTTACATTATTAATGAATGAGAAAATAGAATTAGTTTTATAAGTGTAAATGTAATTTTTTGAGATGTCAAAGTTTACAATTTTTTATCACGATAACTACGGGTAATGCATCGTTTTTTATATCATTACCGAAGCTTTCAAGTCATATTGTACACACCTAATATAATGTTTTTTTTTTGTAATTTGTGCAGCTGTTTTTTATTTTTAAGTTGTAATTTTTACAGACAAGCAGCTTTATAAAAAATTTTTTAGAGTTATATCTTGTTGTAATTGTACTGTATTTAATAAATGTTTTTATATGTACACATATTACAAATTTAGTGCATTCTCTGTTTTACTTATTCTAAGACTACACCATAGTACGCGTTTCTCTTTTCGTATTATTCATATAGTAGAAAGAGCTACAATTACAATTCTTCAAAAAATGTCATAGACACATACATAACGTGTTGATTAAAAAACACACTGCTTGGAAAAGATAAGTATCTACCTTACAAAGTAAATGCTTTAACTGAATGCAAAAGACGTTTATCATATATCCAAATCTTATGTAAGATGTTCAATAGGGTATTTGTATGGTGCCCAAATTACAGGGTTACAGGTTATACTCAACAAGTGCTCTTCGCAAATTTCTTTGATCATTTGCATGAAAATAAAAAGGTACCCTGGAACCCAGGGCCGAATTTAAAAATATTGCTCCCATCCTTAAGCCAAAAATGACTAAATTAATGATAAAAATTAAACCCACTTTAACATGGCATTGTCTACCACTTAATATACAGGAATGTTTTGAGTAAAACCATCAAGCGGGACTGGCGTAGCGAGGCATCGGGAACGTCCTCTATTTAATTGAAGCAAAACTGTAATTTGGTAATTCTGATATCTTATGATCAAATATTGAAAGCTTATTTGTTAAATGCCAGTTAGAATTATCATATTAAGACATGTAAATTAAAAGAAATTGCTTGAATATTGAACGACAACAGCATCCATACATTGTTAACTTTATTAAAAACCAAAAACGGCCTATTATATTCTGACATATTTAAAATTACAAATATCAAGTAATGAAAAGTATACAGTGTTTATTATGTATTTAAATGCAGTGACAACAAAGCAAGTTAGCACATAAACTAAACATCCAATTATATACATCCACTTCAGTTTCAATATTACAAATATTTTAAATTAATTTAATTATCGATAAAATTTCTGTTATCCTATTATGTACACTTATTATACAACAAATTAAATTAAATAAGCAATCTTCGAGTTTTGGCCAAATTAATATGCTTAACAAGAAATCCAGTACTAATAAATAATATAATAAATTGACGAAAACTTTTCGCACTAAGTCACGAATTCTATAAAATTAAACGTACTTTTGCGTGGCGTTGTACCTATGTCAATTAATCAAATTTAAGGAAGTTCGAATTATAGTATAGAAAAAGTTAGTCTATCTGTTTATAGTTTACTATAAAAAGTTGATGTAGGTATTAAATAAATTTCTTGTTTTACAACAATTTATTTTTTATACCGAAAACAACATTTACAAGTTTATATCTATACAAAATAATAAAAAAGAAAAAACAAAAATACTTAATTAATTAATTTGTTTTGGTGGATTCGTTTTTTCATAAATTCCTTCCCCTAGGTTAACTTATATTTTTTGTTACCTATTTTAGTTATATTGTTGAAAATAAAAATCATGTTTTTTATAATTATTCAGCTTTCTAATGGCACATTTAGTTTAAAAACATATTGATAATGTCCGTAGTATCACATATTTGAACTTTTTTTAAATCCAAAGAAAAGCATTAGCTGTATTTCTGTCAACAAATGTTTGTTATGATCAGTTTCATCATCCGTTACTTTTGAGGATAACATTTTATCATGTACAACGTTCTTTAACGTTTCAATTGAATATTTTGAGAAATCGAGAACCCATAAAACTCTTTTATAGCACTACTATATTTATAAAATTTTCTTTTCTTTGATAAAAGAAACAGTTCCATTACAATCCTGCAAAATGTTTTTCATTCAAATAGTTCAGAAATTAAAATTTACTTTTAACTTAACCGTCTTTTTGTAACTAATACGTAGTACCTATTTAACAAAGAAAAAACATTTAGTATATTTATTTCACGAATAAAATAATTACGCAACGCTTCCAAATATTATGAAATAGAGATGAAATTTATAAATGAATACTGTACATTTTAATACTCAAAAACGACGTAACATATTAATCGCAATTACAATTTCAATTACTTAAAATCTATAAATAAACATATTAAGGTTCATTTAGTTCAGTCAGTTTATTCGATTTACTGTAATTACGATTACCTAGGAAACGACAAAAAGACAAAAACAAAATTTTGATTTCCCCATCATCCCTTAAATACACATTTGATTCAGTCATATAGTACTGCCCTAAATGAAACTGATGAAACTAAGAGGTTTCATATTCAAAAAATACTGCGATAAATATAAAACATACTTTACTGATGTACAATATTGCATATTGAATAATAATTCCACTAAATTAAAGACGTGTACATGTACTGGGGCAGATTAGACTATAAAGGGATTTCTTATTAAGTCATCAAATAATTTAATACACATTTTGAAACTACGATAATCTCGTTTGATCGATTAAAAAAGGAACTAACAGAAATGAAACAACAACATCCGTAAATGTTCTAATAATTAATATATAAGGAATTATGCGTCACATTCGACCTGTGACGCGAATCTCATCCGAAAATCGTTATCCTTCGACGTAGATGACGACATTGCGTTATCTTCCTTATCATCATCTTCTTCATCCTTTTCTTCTGTCCTACTTATCGTATGTACTCTATCACATTCCACATCAATTCCTGAATCGACAGTTTGTGGATCATTTGAATTTTCTTCTCCTTTCATTTTTTCTCTTGTTTCAATTTTATCGTACCAGTCTGGATCTTCGTCTTCAGTAGAATCCTCCTCCTCTTCAATTTCATTTGTCTCTTCAGCTGGATGGTTTTCGGGAGAAAATTTCGCCGGTGCTTTAGCAACAACATTCGTCTCAAGAAGTTGTTCAATATCTTGCATTTCGTCTTCTATCGGTTTTTGCTCAATAATCCTTTTGACTTTGTTTTCTTTTTTGGCGAGAATTTGTGCTCGTTTAGCCATCAACATTTCCAATGGTAATCTCTTCAATATCACTTTCACTGACAAAAATCTCTTCAACTCTTCCGTTGGAATATCAGCGCGAACGGTGTCATGTAGCATTTTTTCTAATTTACTTTGCTCTATTGCATCCTGAATTTGCTTAAGAACTTCGGGATTCAAATTCTCATCCACATCCTTTAATTCATCTTTCTGCTGCACACTGCAGAGAAAGAAAATATTAGTAATTCAATTTATAATAATCGTTACAACTAAGATTAGTTAGCTTTAGGGTGGTATATGGTTTGGAATATTGGAAAATTGTTTATAAAATATAAAAGAAGTTGGTTAGAGTTTTTCTCAATTTAAAAAAATTAATATCATCCTCATGTAATTAAAATTTTCTTATTCTATTAATATTTCAAAACTTACATTTCGTTATTTGGACTTGCTTTGTTATGTTCTTCTTTCTTAGGTTCTTCTTTATTAGATTCTTCTTTGTTAGGTTCTTTTTTATTAGATTCGTTTTCTTCATTTTTATCTTTTGTCTCATTTGTAGCAACTTCGGTAATTTTCCGAGTGTCTTCTGCAGTTTTTGCTTTATCCATAGTACTTAACACAGTCTTTTCAATGTCATCTATTATTTCAATGGGAGCTTCCGGATTAATTAAAGTCGCAAGAGGTCTAACTTTAATAAAAGCACCCGCCCGTGGCTTATTTTCAGTTACAGGAGGCGGTTGATTATTCAAGGGTTGCTTCTGTTGTTTTTCGTTATCGTCCACACAAATGACATCGTCGTCATCTTCAGACAATGAAGTAGATGGTGTAATAGTAGTTGAAAACTTCAATTTAGTTAAACCATCTAAGAACTCACTGCGCAGATTCTTTCGAACTTGTATCAGAGAATTGATTGAATTACTCAATACCTCTTGTAGTCTATAAAACAGTAAAAAATTTATTAAATAACTATGATATGTACAGAAATATTTCTTTTAATATTATCTTGGATTACAAATAAAATTTTAAATATGAACAATATGCTCGAAAATTGATCTGAAATTAGTCAATACAATTTACGAAGTTACTGTGCAAATATTGCAAAAGTATTGACAAATTAGGAAGAATTAAAAATACACGATATTTACATCCAAACTAACGTTCTTGGCTGCAAGACATGAAAAAAACTAAAAAATTAGAAAGGATAAGAAAAGTTACATTTTTAGTATTTAGCAAGCATAAATAAAAAAATGCTGAAAATAGTGTTGATAGAATAGCTTACTGATATAAAATGAATAGAGATAAAAGAAACTGTGCTAAGTTAACGGGAAAATCAGCATGCGCAAACTGTGGAGAAAAGAAGGTGCATATTTAAGATATGAAAACATACTACAATACATACTATACTAGATTAAATAAATAAACTAAATATTAAATCACTTACTTATTATGCACGTTAGCGAGTTCTTCGAGGGTAAGGGCAGTGTTCTGTTCTACCGCTAAAGATTCTAGTCGTGATGAAAGGGTATAATTAACCCGCTTCGATAATTGAGTGGCACGCTCAAACCACTCATGTTTCAAACCAGGTAAAAGTTGTGTTGTTTGTTTTGTCTTTTTTAAATTATGCGTCACAGTTACGACAGAATGTCCATTGCCTAACGTCGTATTTGAAAACTTAATCATGGGCTTCACAACTTTATTTTTTGTTTCAGGAGATGTAGTGCCAGTCCGGGGCTGAATGAGAGTCACATCTGGCAGCATTTGTTGCTGGGGTTTTGGTAATTGATAAGTATTAGCCTTTTTCGTTATCGTGACGTCATCTAAAATTGGCATTATTCGAGGGGCTGGTATCAATGGGGGTGGCTGCTTAACAGGAACAGATGGTGCGTTTGCTGTTGTTGTTTCGCATTCTTCATCTTCCATGAAGAGAAACACATCGGGTGTGCACACCACTTCATCCTCCACTTGGGTGTTCAAAAATACTTCTCCTTTATTACTTGATTCTGTTTCTGGTTTTGGTTTTATAAAAACTGGTTGTCGCACTTTTCTTTTTACTTCAAATCCAGTATTATCTAAATAAGGATCATATGGCAGATCATTAGATGAAGTTCTTTTTCGTTTCGCCGGTACAGGTTTTGGTTTACGTTGACAGCATATGCCCTCATCTTTCCTTAATCTTTCAGGATCATTCGCCAATTTAGCACATCTAAAACAAATATGAAACATGAAAGGTATGTAGTGTTAGCGGGTTTTATTAATATTACTTAATTTCAGATAAAGTATATTCATAAAGTGCTCTGGTCATTACTCTCAGGCTAATCATTTGCGATGGAACACATACAAAACACAACCAATCATCACTCTCTTTGACTTCTTCCAACTTCTTCCTACCCAAATTTTTCCAAATGCATTTCTGAAATAGAATGAAAATTTTAGTGAAATTATTAAAACCAATTGGCATTCCAACAGTGGAATTTCTTCAGTACTCCAGAAAAACAATGCACCTATTCCAAGCATTAATAAATGTAGTTAGTAAAATTAAAATAACAACAAAAAAATCTAAAATCCTCATTTGTAAAAAATTTTCTTACTTTACAGAATACATATGGGCAAGCAGCACAGCAAAGTACATTTCCTCCTTCACCACACCAACGACAATAAAGTTCGCTACCATCTTCATCTTTTTCAAATTCTCCACTACAGTAAAAGTCATAGCAATGTTTACACAATATCACTTTTAAAAGGGGATGTATATATCTTTTGTTCTGATTAACAGGTGCTGTACCCAAATGTTCTTGACAGGCCGTACAGTGCACACGATAAAACTGAATGCCTGGCTGAGCTAAAAGTAAACATTTGTTCCAACCATTAATTTGAAAATACCATAAAAAATTGTCAATAACTATAAAAATTATAACCTAAATTACTTTATACATATAAATAAAGTACCTTCACGAAAAAGTTCTTGATAATGTGCCAACTCCTCGAGAGAATATTCTTCTGGAATTGTAGCAGATATTATATTTTCGAGTTCTTTAAAGCAATCTATTGGAATCTTTGGAGCTGCAATTTCATCAGAATTTTCACTTTTTGAACTGTCAGACACGTTAATAACTTCATTACTATTTTCCTTATTTGCATCTGAAATTTACCGCAAATATTAACAAAAACACAAATAAACCTACACTCTTTTTACCATCATCGTTCAAAACAGGATCAGTCACGTTTATAACTTCATTACTATTTTCCTTATTTGCACCTGAAATTCACGGCAAGTATTAACAAAAACACAAATAAACCTACACTATTTTTACCATCCTGGTTCGAAACAGTGTCAATCACGTTAATAACTTCATTACTTCTTTCCTTATTTGCACCTGAAATTCATTGCAAATATTAGCAGAAACACAATTAAAACCTACACTATTTTTACCATCATCGTTCCAAACAGTGTCTGTCACGTTAATAACTTCATTACTATTTTCCTTATTTGCACCTAAAATTCACGATAAATATTAGCAAGAACACAATAAACCTACACTATTTTTACCATCATTGCACAAAATAGTGCTTGTTTCACTAATGCTGAGACAAACTTCAGGTACTAACAGATCTTCCATGGTTGAACTTCCTAATCACAAAACTTCTAATTCATGAAAAATATTACATTTCTTTGAAAGATGTAAACTACAAAAACTTCCGTTTCAAAAACAGATTAACAAAATATATACAATTAATCAAACACGACTAATACATTTGACTGAGAATAGTGTATTTTGCCACCCGTAAAATCATAAAAATACTAGGTAGCCAAAGAAATATTTGAAGGGAGTATGTCAGAAAGGCTAGCGACACAAACCGACGAATACGCAATATTAACATTGCTGCAGCCTGCAGCCTAAACGCCTAGCGATAAGCCTAAATTGTTTTGACACATCCGTGACATATCTCACTAACTGGCAACAGCGTAAATTGCAACCAATCAGAACAAAGTCTGAAGAAGGAATCAAGGTCAATAACGAATAGTTTGATTGCTCTATTTCACTCTTTTGAACGCTTACTTTCTTGCTGATTCGTTGAAGATCGGTACAGTCACGAAGAATTTTATAATGGCGAATAATCAATTTATTTCTTTTTAAATACTATAAATTACATATGGTGGTACTCGCGATTTGCAATATTTACAGCTTGTTCATGATTTCAATACATATTTTTCAAAATTTTCGCTTTAGAATTGTTACCGGCTGCGCCTTGTATTTACCTCAGCGTTACAGAAGCAGCCGTAATACTGCTACGCGATTGGTCACATAAATTGCCACCTCCATCAGCCTCTATTATAATACGGAAGACTCACGGAGTGAGTATTGTCTGGTATTGTCGTTGCCATGTTTTTGCTCTTATTTGTATGTATTATTTAATAACTTTCTAATTTTACTTTTTTCGAAAATATCTTCATTTTATTAATTTCAATAGTCTAAAAGCTATCAAATAAATGAATAGCCTACTAAAAAAATCAAATTATATTAATCAATATGTATTTTGCATTACGCGGGTAAACCCTGACCAATCAGGCGACGTTATTTAACTGAAGTTAGTCCAGATAGCATAATGTACTTGCCCAGCGTTACAGAACCGGTCGTTAACACTACTTTTTAAATTTAACCTTTTTTTTTAGTTGTACTAACCTTGTTTGACATATAAAATGTTATCATTTATTTTTGCTACATTATCCATTACACCACCAAAACCTCCTTTTCTCCATTTATTGAATAGTTGTTTGACCATATTATATGTTGGATTTATTCGAGCATTAGCTGTCACTTCTGGCAAATTAGGTACATTGTTTAAAAGAGTTATATTCTGATGTTGTTTAATACTTTCACTAACTCCCAATCCATCTTCAAAATATCTTATGTACTGTTTTTTAATTTCATCATCCATTCTTAAAAATTTTAAGGATTCGCAAGTATCGACTGCATGATTATGTGTAATATTCATCTTAACAATCCCTGGGAAAGGTGAGTCTCCTTTTAAAAATACGTCATTCTTTCGTGTTGCTTTGTTACACTTTTTAATTTTAATATCAATACTTGATATACACCCACTATTTCTTTTAGAATCCTGTCCTGTTTTGTTTCTTACAGAGTGTTGGCAAACAAAATGCTTATGAAATACTAATCTAAAATAATAAGAAAACTGAAATGATGACAACAGTGGCAATATCTTAACGCAAAATTTAACCTTTGGGGATTGTAAACTCCATTCCTAACAATCCAATTTGTATTTGTTTTTTTTGAATACTCATCTAACCATTTAAGAGCGTCACTTTCACTCATAAAATTTGTTCTATACACTGTTGAACTATCTTTCTTATTTTCAACTCTTTTAAAAATAAATATTGACGATGGCTCCATGTTTAGTTTTTTAATCCTTAATTAATAAAACAGATAAACAAATTACAAGTAGTGGAAAGAAAAATCCAAAACACAGTTTAGGTTAATGTTGTCTACATGTTGTATCATTGTTGTAATGGACATGTCAAACGATTAAAGACATATTAAAGCATAGACAAGAGAGGTTTAAAAATATTGAGCTGTGGCGGCAATTTATGCGGCCAATCGTAAAGCAGTATTTATTGTTATCTATGGTTGTTTTGCAATGCAGTAATTCTGTGTAGTGCTTGGCCTAGGTGCTTGGGTAAGACATTATCTATGGGGTAAGACCCTAGACTAGGAAGACGTAAGACCATGTAGGTTAGAGAGGAGAACGATCGCTGTAGAAGTGTCCAAGAAATATGGAGAAAAAAAGTAAGGCGCTGCGGTTGCTAAGTTGTCTTAATAAAAACCATGCTGTTTTGCGCAATTTAAAAATGATCTATCAGCATTTTATATAAGTTTATGTAATATTATTTATTTAAAAAAAATACAACGTGTGATTATACAACACGCTACTGAAGTGAAACTTCATCAAACACCTATGTTCAAACACACAAACATACCGGCAGCTATGTCTCCTATTTGTGACGTAGGATTGTTAACAATAGCAGCTGTCGCTTTCAATGTTTTTTGACGCGCTCTGTACTCACGTACTCGTTGGGCACCGGTTTTTGGTGCCTGTCGTATAGCTTGGGGTTGCTGAGATTTTCGTTGACGGTGTATTCTCGATCTTTCTGTTGATGTTTTTGCCATAATTTTTAATATTCCAAATGAAATACCACACACACGAATAATAGTTTGTAAACTGTATTACAACACCTCTTATATTATGTTTTTAGGTTATATTTTACATTTTGTTGTATAACGTCCACTACGATATCTATTATACTCAATGTTCTAGTATAATATTCAAAATAATATTATTTTTGAAGAGAAACTTCTTTACGCACGGTAAGTTCGTTTCATGCGAGTTGCCATCCAATTTATTTGTTAGTTTTTAATCTAATTTTCAAATTTATATACAACAAAATACTATGAACACAATTACAAACACCATAAACACCTAACTTCGCAAATTTATGCTTCAGTACGTAGCGATCGTTCTCCTTCTCTCTAAGCTCCATGGGAAAGGGGCAAGATAGCAAGGTATTTAAATTTCCCGCCTTTTACTTTTAGTTTGTCCTCAGCATATCACGCGGCGTAAAATTCAATGGCACAGTGACCCATCTACGACAACTTTTTAAGCTACGATCTATTTTACGTTTGCGTACTCTATTGTGCTTATTGTACTCTATAAAATGCGTATTTATCTATGATGCAAATAAATAAAATGCATCTTTTTGGATATGTATGGGTTATGGCATAGACATATATTAATGGACGTGCCTTAGCCGTATGTTATTGTAATAATTTCTTGGCTCGAAAAGCGAGAGAGATGGCGTATGGTTTCGGAGTAATGTTATCTCTTTCCTGACACACCCACGCATTATCGTGAGAGAGATGGATATTATCCGAAACTTCGTTCCATCTCTTTCTTTCGTTGTACCACAATTCTGACCGCTAATGCACGTCCATTAGTAGACGTCGATGGGTTATGGTATGTGTCTATTATCTATGGTATGTGTAGTTGTTACGTGAAGCTCTACGTTTTGTTTATATTTATGTACACAAACATGAAACCAATTAATTTTACCAGTTTAAAGTAAATATAATTCACAAATACATTTCAAAAAAAATATTTTATACATACCTACGTTAAGATTGTTAGTATTAGCTGATAGTGTGTAATAATTCACGGGTGGTATTTTTAATGTAGTCGATGGCCAAAACAACTGAAGAAGTAAATTAATGTTATTGTTATTGTAACAATAGTTAGTTTTAGAAGCATGTAGTTTAAAAACAAATGAATACTTTTCAAATGATTAGCCGGTTCCAATGGTTGGAGATTCTCATTTGTTTGCTGATAGCTAATGGTTTGTAAATTATTATTTAACCAATAGTATACATACAATACGCGAATACATCCTTCAGAGGCAAACTTGTTTATTTTAATGTAATGTTTAATGATATTATATTAATATTTGCTATCTGCAGCTGGTCATGTTTACTGTTTTATATGAAATTTTAAGTTATAATGTGTTTTACTTTTTTGGGGGTTATTGTAGTTATTCATTTTTAGTTCAAGTAACATATTGTGATGAACCCTTACTGTTGTATTCCACAAAAAAGGATATACGAATAGCAAATAGTGCAAAAACCAATAATACAAAAATTAAACCTGTTGTTCTTATTCGAAATTTAACTGACGGAGCAGCATTAGACTTTCATTATGCAGACAAAAAAATATGCTGGACAGACCACAATCTTGAAAGTATACAGTGTGCAACCTATGATGGAGTGGAAACAAAAGATAAGGTATAGCAATAAATACATTATTTAAAAATTTCTTCTTTTTTATTTAATAATATTGTATTAGCGTTCTTTGAAAATGCTTAGCATATTTTTATTATTCATATATTTTATATTTTCTTTTTAGATTGAAATAGTTACTAGTGGTAATGGTTTGCTTTCACCAGATGGACTAGCATGTGATTGGTTTACAAATAAATTATATTGGATGGATAGTGAAACCAATCGCATAGAAGTTGCAACCATGACTGGGTTATATCGTAAAGTCCTTTACTGGACAGATATTGACCAGCCACGAGCCATAGCTCTAGTTCCTATGAAAGGGTATAATAAAATACAATAAATTGTACTCATTTATTTAAAAGAAACAATTTTTAGTTTTATGTTTTGGTCTGACTGGGGAGAAGTCCCTAAAATAGAAAGAGCTGGCATGAATGGAGATCCATCTACTAGAAAAGTTATAGTTTCAGAAAAAATTTTTTGGCCAAATGGTCTAACTATTGATTATGAGGCAGAATTAGTTTACTGGATCGATGGAAAATTGTTGTTCATAGATGTAATGGATTATAATGGACGAAACAGGAAAACAATATTGAGAAAGGGGCTTGAATATCCTTTTGCATTAGCACAATTTCAGAATAAGTTCTTTTGGACTGATTGGAAATCATGGTAATACTGTACTTAAGATTAGCATATCAGTAATTATAATTATTACATTATAGTTAATCAAAACTGCATTAGAGAATTTTGTTAAGTATTTTCTCAAATGTTCCATATTTCAAAATATGTTTATTTATTATACTTTTCGATACTACATTTCTATATGTCTTTTTTTACAGGTCTATCCATGTTTATGAAGCGAATACGACAATGGAACCAAAGGAATTTATCCACTCGGACTTTGTCCCGATGGATATTCATATGTGGGATGCTCGTCTCCAACCACATCTACCTCACCCTTGTGAACGAGACAACGGCAATTGCTCGCACTTGTGTCTCCTTGCGCCTTACCCTCCCGGTTACTCATGCGCATGTCCCATTGGTATCAAACTCATAGATAACCACACATGCGCAAGCGGTCCCCAAGAATTACTTATACTTGCGCGACGCACAGACATATGTATAATATATTTAGATTCCCCGGATTACACTCTCAAAATCCTACCCCTTACGGACATAAAATACTCAATTGCGGTCGATTATGATCCTGTGGAAGATTATATTTATTGGACAGACGATGAGGTCAAAAAAATTCAACGTGCTCGTTTAAATGGGACGAATCAAACGGACGTAATCGTGTCGGAAATATCTTATCCTGACGGGATCGCAGTAGACTGGGTGGCACGCAATTTGTATTGGACTGATGCGGGAATAGACAGGATCGAAATGTCGCGTTTGAACGGGTCTTATCGTAGAGTTATTATTAGTGAAGGTCTTCTTGATCCTAGAGCGATCGCTGTTGCTCCTGAATTAGGTTGGATGTTTTGGTCAGATTGGAACGAAAAAAGTCCTAAAATAGAGAGGTCTAACTTGGATGGCAGTGAAAGAGAAAGTATTGTAGAGAAGTATTTAGGATGGCCTAATGGTATTACTTTAGATTTGAACTTGATGAAAATCTACTGGTGTGATGCCAAGTTGGATAGAATTGAGTACTCAAACATGGATGGATCTGATAGGCGGGTTTTAATTAGTGATAATTTACCCCATAGTTTCGGATTTAGCTTAATGGGCGATTTTCTGTATTGGACTGATTGGCAAAGAAGAGCTATTGACAGGGTCCATAAAGAAACAGGTAAGTTAGTTATATATGAGATAGTACTTATTTTTTGTGGTTTTTTATTTCTTAAAAAAAAAACGGAACCCTGACAGATTACTTATGCACAAGTACAACTGATTATCTCAAAAATAGGTAAAGGTAAAGACTTGTAAGGTGTAATAATAAATTATACTGACTCAAATATTATCTATAAATTACCTCTTAAAAAATGTTAATAAGAAAATAAGTATAGTAAGTTTTTATGGAGGAGAGTAGTTATTTGTTTGTTTTGGTGTTAAAAAACCAAACTTTTATTGCTAATAAAGGAGTCTTCATTCCAAAACAAACTTTTTGATAAAAGGTTTATTTAATAATACTCGATGAGCGTTAGCTAACAAGGATAATGTGTATGTGTGTTAATGAAATAAACAATCAAAAGTCTGTATCTATAATGTACAAATTTCGTTGAGTTCACACGGTGAAATGCATAGTTTCGATTAATGATTGTGCCGTAATGTTTATACATACAGGGGTCGGCTGGTTAGTTTGTATAACAGCATTAGTTTAAAAGAATAGCTATAAATAATTCATTTTTTTTACATGGCATATTTTTACTAGAGTTTATAATAGTTAGAATGAACTTTTTTACAGGGGGTGGCCGAGAAATAATAATCGACCAAATAGCCAATGTAATGGGTCTCAAAGCGATAAGATTGGGGGAAGTACGCAGTAGTAATCCGTGTGGTGTGAATAACGGAGGTTGTTCCCATATTTGCCTTTATAGACATAATAAAACCTACGTTTGCACGTGCCAAATAGGCTACGAATTAACCAAAGATCGTCATAAGTGCGTTGTACCTGAAGCTTTTTTATTATTTACGCACAAAGACAGTATTGGAAGAATCAGCATCGAGAATGAAAACAACGAAATGGCAATACCAGTGACTGGTATTAAATACGCCAGGTAGCGATATTATTTTTGAATTTTTTTTTTAGTAGCGTAATACCATCGAATTAGATAGTGGTAATAGTAATTTTGAATGAATGCAAACACTGTATGGTTAAAATAGACATAATTTTATTAAGTTAATGGGAAAATTCTATACACGAATAATTTCAATACCTCTGTTCTAGTGCTGTAGATTTTGATATTGCCAATAAGCGTATTTATTGGAGCGATAGCAAACAGAAGGTCATAATGAGAGCCTACATAAACGGATCTGATCCTCAACGAGTAATAGAATTAGGTCTTATGTCTCCCGATGGTATTGCTGTTGATTGGCTTGCACAAAATATATACTGGGCCGATTCAACTGCAAATCATATTGAAGTAGCCCGTTTGGGGGGTTCGAGTCGACGCACTCTTTTGTGGAGAGATATTGATAACCCTCGTAGTATAGCCTTGCACCCTCAAGAAGGGTATGTATACCTTATCCTGTTTAAAAATATTTTATGTTTATTGAATAATTTTCATAAGTAATCTGATCGTTTATTAAGACAAGAGATAGTGGCTACCCCGCTACCACTGCACTGTGATTTTGTGTACTTTTTTGTATTAAATGTTTTATTTTCTAGTTATATTTATTGGTCAGAATGGGGACGACTAAGAAGTATTAAGAAAGCCGCAATGGATGGCACGAATCCACAAACCCTAATATTAAATGCTTTCTCTGCAACCGGTTTAACAATAGATTATGAAGAGAAACGTTTATTTTGGGCAGAACCAAATACTCCAGCAATTATGTCGTCTGATTTGAATGGTTTGGATAAACGAATTATAGTCAAAGAAGATATTGTCAGACCTAACAGTCTTACTTTGTACAAAGATTATATTTATTGGAGCGATGAATCCACAGGTTAATACATTTTTTTTTAATAAAAATTAAATAAACAAATAATATTAAATTTATTGATGTCATAATGTTAAATTAATAACTAGAGAGTATACCTTATTTTCGTGAGATTTACAGATTTGTAATTTATGTATTCATTATTCCGTTTTATTTATTTCTGACGTTTTGTAGGAGAAATATCAAAAGTAGAAAAATCATCTGGACTAAATCACACAAAAATTCATTATATGCAAGAAAAAGTAACAGATCTGCTTGTATTTCATTCATCTAGACAAAAAGGGTTTACTCAGTGTGCTGTAAATAATGGAGGATGTTCGCATTTGTGTTTGGCACGCCCTTCTGAGACTTCGGATGATGATGTATCATTCACATGCGCGTGTCCTACACATTATACTCTACAAAATAATACATGCACAGGTAAATCTATATTTTTATATAAAATTGGATTTTTTGATAAATAATTTTTATTATTTAAAGCACCAAAACAGTTCATGCTATACAGTCAAAGGAATCTAGTCGTTCGCCTTTTACCCGATACATCAGATTGTACTGAAGCGTTTATTCCCGTTCAAGGCTTGAAAGGCGTAAAGGCAATCGATTTTGATCCAGTGAATCACTATTTATACTGGGTATGCCATTTTAAATAATAAAATAAAAAATTAAATTAAAAGTCACTTTCATTTTAAAGATCGAAGGAAAGACTCATTCGATTAGGAGGGCCTTAGATTCAGGACTTCACATGTCCGTTGTAGTACCAGGTAGTCAAAACCAACATCCTTTTGATATCGCGATCGATGCTATTGGTCGTTTACTGTTTTGGTCTTGTGCTGCTCAGGAAGCTATTAATGTTACACGATTAGATAACAATTCCGCTGTTGGAGTTGTTGTGCAGAAGGAGGGAGAGAAACCTAGACTATTAGCAATACACCCTACAAAAAGGTCAGTTACTGATTTAAATTATTTTATAAATAATTATCAAGCATTAATGTGAAATCAACTTAATTTCGTCCTACTACAGATTAGGAGGAAAAATTTGTTGCTGCTGTGACAGCCTAGCTGGAAATCTCGTAGGTTAGTGGTAAGAGTNCCCCTGGCTTTTTCATCATTAATTTGAGGTAATCTGTAGTGGGAAGAAATTAGGGTGATTTCACATTGATGTTTGATAATTATTAAAATATTAACCGCTACTAAAAGTAAAAACTTTTTTGAAGTATTTATTTTATAAAAATATACGGAATGGTTGCATTAATTTGTATTATTTCAACAACACATTTCATTTTCCATTTCAAATGACATTTAACTTTTTTATTAGTAAAAATTCAATCGGTAATGGATATTATACAATAACATGAGAAAATTTTATGGAGAATGGTAATTTTTATTGCAGATTATTATTTTACACTAATGTTGGGACCGTTCCATCTCTCATTCGTACAAGAATGGATGGAACACAGAAGATTGTGATTTTTAAAGGATCTGACATAGCAGCTATTGCTGTAGATGCTGAAAATGAATTGATTGTCTGGGCTCAAGGACAGAATATTTATATGAGCAATATTGATGGAGACAATCAGTAAGTTAAAGCTATTAACTAATATAACTTTTTAACAATTACATTCTAAAAAAAATAAGACTAAATAGTAATCATTCAGGCTTCTGTTGATATATCTTAATAGCGTTTTTCTCCTTTTTTTTAATTAAGCTACGTCGTTTTAAATGAAAGCAACTCAAAAATAACGCAGTTAACAATCTATTCGGGTTGGTTGTACTGGCTGGACAAGCAAATCCAGCAACTACAAGGCCGGGAATTGAAAACAGGTGGTTCACATTCAGTCGTCATAAGCCACGCATCCCTCGTCGATCTAGTTTCCGTCAAACTTCTTGATCGTAATCACTCTTGTGCACAATACCCTCGAAGGTGTTCTCACCTGTGCGTGATGAACGGCACAAGTGCTGCCTGCGCATGTCCGCACGGTCTTGCTTTACAAGATGACAAACGAACTTGTGCCGCATTGCCAGATTGTGGTAACGAACATTTTACTTGTTCTACGCAAACACAGAGTATTAAAGACTGTATACCGTTCGCATGGAGATGTGATGGTCAGATGGATTGTGAGGATGGGTCGGACGAGGCGGGATGTCCCACATGTCGAAACGATCAGTTTCGTTGCCTTAATGGCCAATGCATCGAAAGGTATTTTTTTTTATTTTTGACCGCACAGTTAATTACATACGTCTGACCACATTAGAGCTTTCAGCAGCACTATTTTCTGCCTAACCTGTGTAGTAATTTTTTATATGTCATAAATATTAAAAAATCAGTTCCTAAGTAGGGAGAAAAAAATACAGAAATAGGCGAAATACCAAAAAGAAATCGCATACATTATCCCATTGCCACTCGCAGTGATTAAAAGTTTAACGCTAAAATAGTTAAATTAACAATTATAATTATATTTACAAATCAAAAATTGAAAA